TTTAAATTTTTTTCAAAGAAAATGAATGCTTTCAGAAAAAAAATGAGTTTATAAAAACAAAACACCTCTTATTCTCTGTTGAATATCAACCTGAAGAAGACAACCAGAACCTGAAATTGTTTTAGACAGAAAATTAGATGCTTCTTTCCTGTGTCTTTCTCTCTCCTCTACTCACCCCTGCTTTTACTTACCTAACCTGCTCTCTTGGGGGAGGAAGATTGATAAATACATGGTACTATTGGCTTAGTAAAATATTTCTCATAGCCCAGCTGGCCTAACCTAGGGTGCGGTGGAAATGAAGGTAAGTTTTCTCTTTTTAAGTATTTTTGGTATTCTTTAAGCCTAACACAGCCAGTCATTTTGAGTATTTATCATACCATTTAGATGTATAATCACATGCCATTTGCTAAGGGAGTGAATTTCATATTTTTTATGCATTATAGAAATTTGGATTCATGTGAAACATAGTTCCAAGAGAAATCAAGTTATTGTTTCTTTCTCTTTCTTGCACAAATAGAAAGATGTTTGGATAAAGCAAAGTGATTATGGTATAGGTGTTGTGCCCTTAATTCCTGCCCCTTGACCCCAAGCAAAGTAAGTTTCCAGGCTTTTACCCACCCACTTTTGGAGACAATACTTTGTGGCAGATGGAAGGAATTTCTACTCCCTGTGTATGAGCAAAACCGTTTGGTTTAGTTGGTTTGGGAAGGTTTTAGAAATTTATTGACACACTAATATGTATCGGGGGTGTCTTGTAGTTGTGCTCTTTATTTTGCTCCTGGGGGGAATACCAAATTCATGTACTATGAACAGCTATCAAAAAGCAAGGACAAAAAATGAAGAGAAAAAAACTAAAGAGATTCAAAATAATCAGGATCCAAAGTCCACCTTATGAAGGTGTGCACCTTTAGTAAATACCGAAATGCAGATTTTTTTTTCCCTCACACACTCTCTGAATTCCTGTCCTCCCCAAAGGGAATAGTCTGTTAATATCTGAATGTCATCTTTCTCCAAGCAATACAGTAATGATTTCTCTCTCAAAGAATAGTTTTCTCCTAACTTTTCACTTTGATTTACTATTAGTTCTGGCTTCTTAAGGAAATAGGCCTTCCACAGGGTTACTGTAGGATAGGTCAAGAAAATAATCTTGTATTTTTCATTTGTGATGCCTCATTCTCTATCCACATTCATCAGAAAATAAGGTCATCTTTGGTCAGGTGCTGCTAAATGAGTTTGCAGTGAGACTAGGTCAGGAGTGGGAATTTGGGTGGTATTGCCCAAAGGATTCATTAAAGGCTCTTTTTCCTATGATAATAAACAACTGAACACTACACTTCTACAGACTACTGCATCCTGGAAATCTTCAACTGTGATTTTGCTTCTTTACTCAGAGTTACAGAGGTCATTACTTGGGAAAATTAGCTATAGGGTGTCAGATAAGTTATTAGTTTCCTGTATTTAGATCAAACAATGATGATCTAAGCAGCCTAAAAGGAATCAAATGTTGATTTCTTTTTTTTATGATCAATATTTACTACTTAAACTATAAAAGGAAACATGTATCTATTACATACATCCAGTATGTACCTAATCATAGATCACATTTCTCCTAGCTACAAAAAGAAAAAGGACAATGTAGGAAATTAATGGCTTTGATGTTTTTTTTTTTTTATTTTCTTAAAATTAAATTCCCATTAGTTCCATTTTAAATTCCAATTTAAAAAAGAAGCTTCTTCTCCTCCTTATCTGATCCTTATCTTTACATTCTTTGTTTCACTGATGCTACCTCACTGGTTTTGTGCTGGAATCTGCCAGGGAAGTCTTCACTAGACTGAATCCTCCTTCTTTGAAAATCTAACAATTTGTATGTTTTAACTTTCGGCTTGTGTCTACATCTTGTATCACTTATCAATCCCGTTTTACGCTTAGGCTACAAATTAGATTTGTCCTTACTCTGTTTGCCACATTTATAGCTGAGTTTAAACATCACTTTCTCTCTGGTAGGATGCATTGACCTTTTGGCTTGATTAAAGATAAATGCCATTGACTCTCCACTTTTGGAGGCTGAGAGTTTTTCAGAAGCTCACTGGGATTTCTTTATTTATTGCCTAAAAATGAATATTGAATAATACTCATTTCTCTACCATTTTAATGAGATGGGTATGGATTTTTTTTTTCTACTGTCAAAGTAATGAGAATGATTGGGGTTGGAGACAGCAACTGTAGCCGAGCAGAAGGGCACCAGGGCTTTCAGATCTTTTTTCACAGGTTTGGTCACAGACCATCGCATCCTAAGGTTTTAGAGTCAAAAGGACATGTAACTGTTTTTGTTTGAATTTGACCAAAGTGGGCATTACAAGGACCCAAAAAATTCTAAGTACCTGTAAAATATCAGCAGCATTTAAAACACACTGTGCTGATTGCAAAGCTTGTTTTATATCTTAATGACTAATATGGCAGTAATGTGGCTGTCTTGCTAAACTGTGACTGTGTTTGTGTATTTTTCCCTCTTATTTTGTCCCCAGTCGTAAAAATTAAGTGATGTGCAAACACTGCCTAAAGAACAGATGCCACCTATAGATGTTTAAATAGCCTATCTTTGTAACAGTTATGCCTCCATAGCCAATATTTTCTATGTCTTTCTTTACTTTCCTCTTTCTTATTGAAGCATTTGCATGTAGAATAAAGAGGATAAGAACACACACACACACACACAAAAAAAACAAAGGCAGATTTGTTTTTTCTGAGAACATCTGTTCTTGCTTCAAAGCACCCACATGATGTGGCCCATTTTCTCTCAATGCCTGCACAGTTTGCTGTTGTAAAGGCGACTGTTCTATCAATCTTAGACCTGAATTTAATGAGATAATGAACAATGGTATCTAATTAGGTGAAATGTAGGAAAAATCCTATTATAATGTATATGCTTTAAATAATATTAAGATGCATGCTCCCAAAGAACAGTTAAAATCGAATATAAAATGGTTTATCATAGAATTTTTTCTCCTAAGATTCATTGATCTCATGGCCTCATACCCAATTTTTGGGTACAGTTGGTCCATTTTAAGTTTTTTCATGGAATTCTTAGAACCTTATGAATTTGCATTGCACTAGGGATATAGGTACATTCTGAAAAAAAACAAAAACCAAAAACCAATTACCAGTTGTATACATTTTAATTAAAAGAAATCATTTTACTTTGGAAGTCTTTATTTTTTAAGCAGGAAATTCCCCCAAACTTCAACTGCTGTCATTTTTTAAAAGCTATCATTATTTTTCTTAAATATTTATTTAATTATTTGGCGGGGTGGTGAGGGAGAGAGAAAGTTCTGAAGCAGACTCCTTGCTGAGTGCCCTGAGTGCAGAGCATAATGAGGCTTGATCCAGGACTCTGAGATTGTGACCTGAGCCAAAATTGAGAGTTGGATTTTTAACTAACTAAGCCACCCAGGTGCCCCATCATTACTGTTATAACCAGCATTTAATTGCAACACTAATAACTCAAAATTAAAGTGTACAGTTTAAAATTACCTAGCTCAAAAGATATTTACCTGTGATGCCATTTTTTTTATTTTCTTCCCTAAACAATATAAAATATTGTTTTGGAGTCTTAGAGATAGAGGAGGGGGTGGAATGGCCAATGAAAGCTATATAATAAAGCTTTCAAAATTACCTAAATAAAAATGTTTTGTTCTTAGTTGATTGTTTCTAAAGAAATAAATACCTGTGTAGACATCAGTTGTTTGGCTAGTGCTCATTAAAGCACCTACTGTGTACTTGGCCCTGTGCTTCCATATGTTAGATCCAAGTGTATTCCGGAATATTTCAGATGCATAATATCATAGGGATGTATTGGTCAGATACACATTTCATCTTTTTTTCCCCAAGTCATTTCCAGAGATAGGGCTTTCTACATAGTGATTGACTAATCCAGGAAGACTTAACAGAGTCTTTCTGCACACACTTAGCTGTTCCCATAGAGAGAATGAACTTGGTCTAATTTTCTTGTTCAGTACAATCTTCTTTGTCTTATAAAGTTACATCTCAGTTCAATGGTGAGCAAAACATGACATTTTTCCCCCATTACTAACCAAATTCTTTCAATGCCTCAGTGTTTATCTTGCTAGCTTTTGCCCCTAAATACTAGAATTCCTTGTTGAACCTGATTTTTTCTTGGTGCATGGTGCACTTGGACATCCTCTTGAGCATCTTGATCATAGATCTTTTGAGACAGCTTGTTTTATTCCTTTATCTGGTGGTACTTTCTCCTGAACATTCTTTTGACTTAAAATTAAGAGTTCAATTTTGGAATTTTACATTATTTCATTTTTTAGATCTTTAGATCTTTTTGGAGAATGATGAACCATGAGAGAAGTCTGGGTCCTCTCACATTCCCTTCAGGAGCATTACGTATCGTGGGGTTTAGACCTCAACATTATTATTGTGGTGGTTACTGTTGTGATTTCTGTGGTTGCTGAATTCTGATAGAACTGTGGGTTAATGGCAATATCAAGTTAAGACTATGTATTACAGAACTCTTTTCTCATCCAATTGATGGATACTTTATGAAAGTCAGACTGGTGTATTATGCCTAAATGACCAAATGATTCTAAAAATATACGATGAATTTCTTATATCTTCAAGAAATTCATCTAAAATCTATGACTTTGGGAAACAAAATGACAACTGACTACTATTTCTTATAAATGTTCACTTACTGCCCTTGGCATCTTAGAATTTTATATCTGTAGACAAAGGAGGGTACTTATTTTTTTCACTGTTTTGCCAATGTCTATTTGAGTTGAGACTTTTGCATTTGAGGACACTTGTGGAATATCCTGCTGGATCAGTAAAACTGGGATGGGCTTTGGTGGAGGGGTGCACGTATGATTCTTTGAATGCTACTGGGTTATATGCACCAGTGTGGCTTTGACAGTTCTGATACCATAATCACTACTTTCAGAATTGATTCTAACTTTGGCACTTATCATCGTCCTTAGGCAAAGGACCTGAGACCCTGTATGCGGGGCAGAAGCTCAATGACAATGAATGGCACACTGTCCGGGTGGTGCGCAGAGGAAAAAGCCTTAAGTTAACTGTGGATGATGATGTGGCTGAGGGTGAGTACAGCTCTACATGAGGAAATTTGTCTCTTTTTGTTCTCATAGCCCTCTTGGCCATTCAGTGAACAAAGGTTTTTTTTTTTTTTAACACATTTTATTTTGTTTAACAGAAGTCATGTGACATGTTCTCTCTTGACAAGCTCAGGTAAGGCTAAGAAGGTCTTCCTCTGTATTTTCATAATCCTTTTAATTGATCTGTATTATAGAACTTACCCATTACTGTCACTGTATGTTGATGAGTCTCTCTCCTTAGGCATAGAATATGTGTCTGGAGAGTAGATGTAGAGCTCTGTAGCTCTTTTATTATTAATTTATTCAAAAATCACTTATCAATCATCTTCCCAACTGCCAATTTCTTCCCTCAATAAATGACTCACTCTCTAGGGGAAGGAGATGGATAAACCAGAAATTCAGAACATTACAGGTAAAAGTAAGTACTTACATCACTAAAGGCTGCTTAGAAGGGCTGAATAATTATTCATTTATTTAATCATTTATTTAATTGTTATTGAGTACCTACCCTGTACTGAGCACTGCTTTAGAAGGCTGAGAATATGGAGGTGAACAAATAAGCAGTCCTTGGCTTGGTGGAATTCACATTCTAGGAGGACAATGTGTAAATGAATGTATCTATATGTACATAAAAGAACGTTCAAAGCTTCACACAAACAATAACTATTTCAGTGAGACCCTGTTACATATCAGCAGTGTCCTAAGGATGTGGAAGATAAGAAGGAAGCATAAGAGATTATCTGTTTCCTCAAATAATGAACCAATTTAGTCAGTTAGATAGGACCCAGGCATTTGATATAAGAGAAAAAGTATGTAATGAGATTCTAACTGGGTGGGTAACATTGTCATTGTCAGAAGAGAAAATGATCATTTTGGGTTGGAGAAAGCAGGAGTGGCTTATGAAGGCCTTTAGTCAGAATTTGAGGGTTAATTTAATGAGGTCTAGGGTGGAAGAGAAAGGGCATCTTCCATGTTGTTGCCAAATAAGTCTGTACTCTCTAACTTTCCAGAGCAGTGCACATCTGTTATGTAGAACTCTTGTCCATATGGGAGAGAAAAACATGGAGGCAGCATGGAGTAGGATGTAGAACATGGTTGGTGTCAGGAGACCTGGGCCCTGATGTTAATTCTCTGCCAGATGTTGGAATAGTCACTTACCATTTCAGGTCCTTGTCATTTGAAGTCCGTGACATAAACTATCTCTAGATTCTTCTATGAATAAGACAGTCAAGTTAGAGTTAGGATCCCTGGGATTTAATACAGTCATTGGAACTTAAATACTTTTTACCATTGGGACAGATAATGATAAACCTTTTTCATCATTTCCTCACTCTTAAACTTAAATTCTATTACTGCTAAAGCCCTGTCCAGATTAAAGTTCCTGCAGTTTGGGGTTCTGTAATTTAATTTTCTATAAATGAGTCTGAACCTCTATAATTCTGGAATCTGGAATTATAGCAAGCCATGTATATATGTGTGCAGGTAGGAGTGTGTGTGTGTGTTAGAGAGAGAGAGAAGGGAGATAAGGAGAGTCTATGGAGAGAGGAAGAGCAGGAGGCACCTATCTAGTGCCTAGTAGGCATTACATACTGAGATAGTCACCTTACATGTATCAGCTCCTTTAATCTGCAATTCCCCATTGCCTTGCAAGAAAAGTGTTATTGTCATTTTACTTAAGAGAACATGACACTTAGAAGGAGCTATGTAATTAAGTTCCAAATTCATGTCGGTGTGACGTCACCAAATCAGGCTACTTGCTGGACTTCACAATCCATCCTAAGAAAATGATTGGTTCTTACGATATGGGAAAAATACAATGGAATGCATTAGAGTGACGTGAGGAATCCACTTTAGTGTAGACTACAACACTCACCCCTCTCTCCTTAAAAATGAAGTCAAACAGAGCCTTAAGTATAAGTACCCCAAACCCTCCAGTTGTATGTATATAGGCACCTTCATCGGCGGGAGGTAAGGTTACTGTTCTACCTGCCTGAAGGGTAACATAGCTTTAGGTAACAGATGTAAACAAAGAGCTGTAAAGATGGTTACATGGTTTAGAACCCACAGCTATCCTGAATTAATTATTCAATAAATCCCCGTAGGCTGTTAATGCACGCTGGAGCCTGCACAGCCGCAGTGACAAGTCGCAAATCGCTTTGCCAGCTCCTCTGGGCAGAGCCCTGCAGCCCAGTGATGCTATTCCAGGGTGATTTGAGCGGTAGCCACTAGATGGTGCCCTCACCCCAATCTCTCTGGACCGCAAAACCCTTTTTATTTTTCTCAGGAAATGGCATGCCCTGAAAGCTGTAGTCGTAAAGAACTGCAGAACTGAAGATACAGTAATGTGCATTGCCTCCCTTGGCCATTATTCTTTTATAGAAACTTTAGACTAAAGGTAATTAGAAAGTGCGCTTTCTCTTAACCACTAATAATTAAAAAAGCAGGACTATACCGAGGAAGGCCCCAGTCATTCAGTAATTTGATATTTGAAATTAATGAAGCTCTTTCATTTTCAACCTTATCCCCTACTTTACTGCTGCTGGAAAAGAGCAGCCATAAGGATAAAGAAATCTGGGAGAAGAAAAGAGCTATTTTGCTTATGAGCTACAACCTTGGATTGCTTCTTACAGTGATAATGGGTTTGGGAATTTTAATTTTAGCTCACAGAAGTCATAAAATCAGGCAATGAAACTAAAATACCACACAGTCCTCAGGTTATTAAGTAGTGTCTTATTGGCTTATTTAGTAATCCCTTTCATGCTGTTTAAGGTCCCCTAGGGTGTCAAGTTTTCAGCTAGTTTGTAGAAATGATGCAAAGAATAGGTCACACTCATAAGAAATCAAAAGCAAGGGAAGAAATATTCCTTAGCCTGGTGGTTTTCATTTATTGTAACACAATGTAGTCCTGGAAAAGTATTAAGTTCAGTTGACAGTAACGATTGATGGATTGATTGACCGAGCTGGATTTCTATTATCAAGAATAAATTAAAAGAATACTTCACTTGGGTTATGCTCCTCAGGATTAGGATCTAATGCTGCATGAACCACCCACTCCACCCAGAGCTTCTTGCTAGTACAGAGATTCATCCCTCTTTTGACTCCTCTGGTTCGTGTTGACTTCTTTCTCTATGACTTACCCTATACAGCAAACATAGCACCAAGCTGTAAAAAGTCATTTTCCAAGGAAAATCTATTCCTCACATTAACAACAACAACAACAACAACAACAAAAATGTGATGAAATAGAATGGGGAAATGTTAGGTTAAACAAAATGAAGTGGATTTCTTTATTGCAAGACTTACTAGGAGCCTTTACCATGCTAATACACATTGCTAATCATCAGTAACTACATGTGAAGTGTTTACCTAGTTAATTTGGCTCCAGAACATTTATTATTATTATTGTTACTAGAACAGTTTATAGCATATACTTTTAAAAAAGTTTGGCATTGTGGAGAAAAGGATATGCAAGTGGTGGAGCTGAAGATGGTGAGCAAAATGTGTATCCTTTACTGAGACTTGATAAGCCTTCATTTTCTTCTCTCCCCATGTCTGGGAGCCCAGGAAGGTCAAGCTGCCTCCTCTAAGTCTTTCTCATTTCTTTGCTAAGCGTTTAGTGTTGACTAGGAACTTTATATGTAGAAATGGCGATGATCCAAATTCTGACTCTAAAGCAAATCCTTCCTCAGATGTGAGGGATGCTTGCTGTGCTCAGGCCCCTCTGCTAAACATCACAGGACATACAGAAGAGGTGAGAAGTGGTTTCTACTTAAGAAGAGATTGTGTTCTAGTAAAAGAGTGACAACCAAAATACAGGAAATTGTTAACACATTTCAGAGAAAGGAAACAAAGAATGACACATAATTAATAGCTAACAATTTAAACACTAGTCACTGTCCTAAGTAGTTTTTAGGAATTGATAACATCTAATCCTGAAAACTTCATACCTATTTCACAGATGGGAAACTGAGGCACATACCAGTTACCTTACCAGCCAGTGCAACCTCAGAGCCTGTATGCTTGTCCAGCATATGCCTGGTAGGAAGTTACAGTTTGAACTTGGACAGATTTTCTATAGATTTCTGTTCTCCACAGACTTTATCACTCTGGTGTGTAAACTGCTGACCATCAGTGAAAGATGGAAGTGGATGTGTGAATAGGAGTCCAGGCAACACGGCTGTTCTAGGGAGGGTGTTGGATATATTATGGGTGAATTAGGTGGAATGACGTGACGGTGCTTGGCCACTGCGAAGGAGTGTGAACCCATCACAGCAATTTAGTATGTGGAAATTTCGCCATTTAAATTCCACCCACAATAATGTAAGGAGTAAGTCAAGCTTTTTCTCCATTCTGTAGTGTGCAAGAGAAGATGTGGGCTTTGGAACTGAATACAGCTGGGTTCAATTAGAGTGCTTACCACTCAGCACCTGTATGAACTCTGATCAGATTACTTAACCTCTCTAAGCTAAGTGTCCTTCTCGCTAAAGCAAGATAATGATACCTATTTGTTTTGATAATGATGTTTGGTGGTGGCTCTGAAGTGCCTAGCACAGGGCCTGGAACATAAAGAACATTCAGTAGTCATTTCAGCTTTTTTTTTTTTTATCATCTTTCTCCCAAATTATTCCTCTTCCCTCTGAAAATCAAAAGCAATTTCTATGAAGTAGGTATATATTTGCCCCTTGAATGGAAAGGAGTTTTAGTCTACAGACAGCATTTAGGGGAGATGGGTGGCAAGATCCCCAGTTACTAATATTGATTAGATGGTGCACAGATTAATATGTATTAATATTATATTAATTATATATTTTTAATATAATTAAACACACACACATATATTTGCTTAGTTTGGCACAAGGTTCAAACTTTAAGTAATCTCTTTAATGCTCTCTCCAGGCAATAGCATGCTCTTTTGGGAACCTCCATCCACAGCCAGTGAGTTCCTTTTGTACCTGGTGAAGTAGTTCCTTTTCTAATTTGGCCCCGTGTTGCTGCCCCAGCCCTGCCCCAACTTCTAGTTGAGGCTCTGTGACTCATTCTAAAACCTTAAGTCAGTCTGTGTCCATGGGCTATGCTCTCAAATTCCATTGTTTATTTATTTTCTCTTCTCTTTCTTCAATCTCTCCTCAATGTACAGCACTGTACATGATTTTCTTGCTTCATGAAATTCATTTTCTAGTGAGCAGAATTTCCTAACCCCTCAACTCTGGAGGCCAATTTATTTATAATTTTTCTGAAAGCTCCTTGTTGACTTTAAAATAGTCTCTTCAGGTTTCTTTTGGAAATCTAATCTTCACCAGGGATCACCCCCTTATCACTTCTTAGTTCTCCTTGCTGATCTCCTCATCCCCCATCCTCTCCCCCTTTTACTTTTCTTTCTCCTCCTCCTTCTTCTTCTTTATTTTATTTATTTTATTTTATTTTATTTATTATTATTATTTTATTTTATTTTATTTTATTTATATTTTCCTTCTTCTTTTTTAAAATAAGAATTAGCATGGCTTCCAGCATCATCATGATTTAGTTCCTGTGTCCCCATGATGATTGGCTATGATTTCCGCTCCCCACCCCCAACCAATCATTCTCCAGCTCCAGCCTCAGTTCTGTATGAACAGCTATAACCAAATGGACTACGGATATTTGTTTCAGTCACTTCATGGTTCTTGAGCATGTGAATTTAGGTTATGCTAGTTTTTGTTTTCATGATCAGTCCGATTTTCAATACTCAGTTTCAATACTTTTATACAGTTCTCCTAGTTATTCAGTTGTTAGCAGATTTTTATTCTATTACAATTTTATATCTAAGTTAACCAACACCATTATTTTGTTTTTGCTTATATTAAGAGAATGATTTGTCACTGGTTGTCAAAATACCACATAGAAGCTCATAAAATGTAAATCTGACTTTTGTGCTTATAAACAGTTTTCTACATCAGGTCTGAGTGTGCTCCCAATGAGATGGCATTAATACTGAGCATCTGAAGGTGAGATCTGATTGAATCTCCCAGATACTGAAGCTTAAGGGATCTGAGAAAATATAATTCCTTCCTCTCTCACTCTCTCTCTCTCTTTTCCTGCTACATGATTTCTACACCAATAGAGGAAAAACAAATGCAAGGCTGGTAAAAGTCAAGCATCATTTTTGTTCGTGGTAACACTGATACTGAAAAATGTGCTTAACATCTACCGAATTTCAGAATTGGAATTGCTCACTTGAATGCTAACTAATTCAGGACTTTGGTAGGCATCTCCACTGAAGCAAGGCTTGTTCCTCTAACACCCATACTGTGGGTGTGTGGGGTACACTGGGTGTTTCTTGAAGGCACCTTGCTCCCCTGGGGGAAACTGGAAGTGCAGGGGCTGAGCTATGGAAATACAGTTTCCCTGTAGATTTCCTTTAATCTCTGGATTATGTTGCTCCTTTTCCTCTGAAAGGCTGTAACAGAGGGAGTAAAGAAATGTAGGAGTGTCTTGCTAGTGGAGTTTCTTCAATGTGAAGGGTAAGGGCAAGAGACGGCAGGAGGAGGGACTTTTTCCCCTCTTCCTTCACCATTGGAAGCGATGTTAAATTTTGGTGATTTGTCTATATAAATGTTGGAGGAGCCACCTAATGCTGTGTTCCTTGACTTTGTAATTAAAATTTCCATTCGCTTTTTTTTTTCCATTCACTTTTGTATTTCTTTCAAGCCCCCTTCATTACCCCCCTGCCCCAGTCACTCACTTCTTCTATGTAAGCCAGGTAATGAAAGGTCTACTAGTTTATTTGTATCAGCTGGAGATCTTTTAGTTGCAAATGTCAGACACCCAACTTAAATGCTTGAAGCAGAAAAGGGAACCTATGTCATATAGTTTTTAAAAGTCTGGCTTTGGCTGCCAAATCCAGACTTTCAAAAGGCATCATCCTAGAGAAACTGTTTCTCTTCATTTTGTGGTTGGCTTTCTGGGTTGGCTGTCTGGTCAGGCAGCCCCAAGCTCTCTGGTTATCACATGACCTCCAGCAGCTCTGGGCTTTCTTCTTATCTCTTCAACAAGCCTTGTCTACAAGGAATACCTCTTAGGTGTTCTAGCAAAAGCCCTGGAGCTGAATATTACTAGACTTAATTACCGAATAACCACTGAATACTCCAGTTTATGTTGCTGCTAATCCCTTGGCTCTAAGGGTGGTCTCTAGACTAGCTGCATAAGTATCACCTTGGAATTTCTTAGAAATGTATATTCTTAGGCCAAACTCTAGACTTTTGAATGATAAACTCTGAGGCTGGAGCACAGGGAACTGTATATTAAGAAGCCCTCCATATGATTCAGAGGTATGCTAGAGTTTGCAGACCACCTTGTTAGTCCATAGACCATGCTGTATGGCTAGGAGGATAAAATATATTGAGTGGTCCAGCTTGAGTAGGCTGATTACTTTAAGAGCTGGGTTAGGGTCAGCTTCATCCAGCCCAGATGGTTTTAAGGTGAAGTATGGAGGGTAGCTTCCCAAAGGGGGAAATTAGAGGTGTAATCAGAAAAACCAGTAGTTGCTGATCAGAAAAAATTAACACGTGTTCTACAATACAATCTTTCCACAAGTACTACGTGGTGAATTATTACATCAAGAAATATTTGGTAGTGAATGCCTAATGCTTGTTTGTTGTATCTTTACCAGGTTTTAGGCAATAAAGACGTTTCTTTATGCATTCGTATCCAATTATTTCCTGAATGGAGAAAACAAATCATTTTATCTTTTAACTTGAGCTATCTGTGCTCTCACATTTTCCTGTATATGATGGAACATTCTGAGCAGCTGCATGAGAGCATGAGCTACAAGGCATATAATTCAGCCTAGGCCAGGAATAAGCTCTCTTACTGAGGTCACCTGGCTGTATACTATATTGAACATCTTGTTTTCTGGAACAGAATATTTTGTGTGGCAACCTAAAAGATATAGTAAAGATGCTGTGAAAAAACATGATGACTTGTTTGTATCTCATCTGTGGTGTTCATAGGTACGATGGTGGGGGACCATACCCGCTTGGAATTCCACAATATCGAAACTGGAATCATGACTGAGAAACGTTACATCTCCGTTGTCCCATCCAGTTTCATTGGCCACTTGCAGAGCCTCATGTTCAATGGCCTGCTCTACATAGACCTGTGCAAAAATGGCGACATTGATTACTGTGAGTTGAAGGCTCGTTTTGGACTGAGGAACATTATTGCTGACCCTGTCACCTTCAAGACCAAGAGCAGTTACCTGAGCCTGGCCACTCTTCAGGCCTACACGTCCATGCACCTCTTCTTCCAGTTCAAGACCACCTCAGCAGATGGCTTCATTCTCTTCAATAGTGGTGATGGCAATGACTTCATTGCAGTTGAACTGGTCAAGGGGTAAGTGGAAGAGATCACATGGTTTATGTCAGGTATCTAAGCTCAAGCCCTACATAAAATATGGGCATGAAATAAAAGTATCCATTTCTGCTCCCACTCTCTAGTCCCAATACATACTCTGATCATCACTGACCAAAAATAAGTTATGGTGGGATGCTTAGGTGGCTCAGCAGTTGAGTACCTGCCTTCTGCCCAGGGCATGATCCTGGAGTCCCAGGATCGAGACCCGCATCAGACTTCCTGCAGGGAGCCTGCTTCTCTCTCTGCCTGTGTCTCTGCCTCTCTCTGTGTGTCTCTCATGAATAAATAAATAAAATCTTAAAAAAAAAAAAAGCCATGGAATGGTTAGGGCCAGAAGGAAGAGAAATTCATTAATTTCATTAATTTATTTAAAGATCTTCCAGTAACTCAATACTATCAGACTTTTTACCATAAAATACGGTCCTTTAAACCTCTAGGAAAAAAGCTTATTTTTGCAAAAGGAGGATATAGGGTACATATCCTACATGCAGTGCTCTTGGGCAGTGCTCTCTGCAACCACCGCATCTATAGGAGGAAATGAAATATAGATATTTTCAGCGTATTGCCATTAGCCCATATATGGAAAGTATGGAAAGCTGTTCTTTTTGCAAGATATTTCACTACCATGTGTTGGAAAATAGTCAAAACAAAAACAAAAGAACAAAACTCAAAACACAGATTCACGATTGACTGAATTTAAATACCGCCCCCTAGTGTTTAGAGGTGTATTGCCTATACTACTTTGTGGCTTTGGATTTTTAGATGATGTTAAAGAAGTAAACCTTGTCAGTGTGGAATAAAAGTGAGGTCTGATAGAATAGGCTATGATTCTTCTTATGATATTAAGTGAAGCTTTAAATATTCCTCCATGATGCCAGGTTAGCATGGGGGATGTGAAGCCCTCAGTGCCCATTATATACATGTTGCCATTAAACCATTTTAGGGACTCAACTCATGAGGTGGCTTATATTTCTCACAGGTATATACACTACGTATTTGACCTTGGGAATGGTCCCAACGTGATCAAAGGCAACAGTGATCGCCCCCTGAATGACAACCAGTGGCACAACGTCGTCATCACCCGAGACAACAGCAACACCCATAGCTTGAAAGTGGACACTAAAGTCGTCACCCAAGTTATCAATGGTGCCAAAAATCTGGATTTGAAAGGTAAACCTTGTAAAGATGTTTAACCTTTTTAGAGCATTTCTTTTCTTTTTTTTTTTTTAAGATTTATTTATCTTAGAGAGAAATGTGTAAGTGAGGGGAGGGCAGAGAGAGACCGTCAAGCAGACTCCCTGATGAACATGGAGTCTGGCACCATGCTCAATGTCATGACCTTGAGATTGTGACTCTGAGATCATGACCCTGATCACGAACTGAAACCAAGAGTCGGACTTTTAACCGACTGAGCCACTCAGGCGCCTTTAGAGCATTTCTTATAATCAAAAGGCTATTTGCAGAGGCAAACTACAGGTTAGAAGTGCCATGCATTTTTGATACATCATGCATATTCTATTTTAACAACATTAAATTATACCAAAATGTGGTTTTTACTTAAACCACTCCTCAAAGGATGGTTCATTTTCTCTGTAAACCTCAGGCATGTGGGGGCTGAGCATGAGGTGATAAATATCAAAATGGGGAGGTGTCTTTTTACAGAGGAAATGGTATAGGTTTTGGAATCTCAGCTGAATCACTTACTGCCTGGGTGACTTTGGTAAAATCTCTTAGCCTTGTTCAGCTTCTGTATACTTTTTTTGCAAAATGAGGACAATAATTGTTACTACTTTTATGAGCCGTTATGAGTTTTGATGGTATAATGTCTATAAAATCTTCAGCCTATTATTGGTAACAAGCACATAAAAAGCAGTCAGTAAATGGTTGTTTTGCTGAAAATCTTGTTAATCTTTACTTCATCATAAAATGGGAACAATACCTACCTCATGGACTGAATATGGTGATTGAAATTTGTGAGATGGCATATAGAAAATGAATGACATAAGCAATGTGAGTTACTTCTTTCTACACTGTAGAAACTCTGGCAGTTAGTTGTTTATGCTACTCCCCTCCCCACCCCCAGCTCTACCACCATTACCTAAGAAGTAGTCTAATGCGCATTGGCTCTCATTGACATGGTTTCAGTACTCTTTACTCACATTTGCTTTTGCTACTTGCTTTTCTTTCCAGGTGATCTCTACATGGCAGGTCTGGCCCAAGGCATGTACAGCAACCTTCCAAAGTTGGTGGCTTCCCGGGATGGCTTTCAGGGCTGTCTGGCCTCAGTAGATTTGAATGGGCGCCTGCCAGACCTCATCAACGATGCCCTCCATCGGAGTGGACAGATCGAGCGTGGCTGTGAAGGTACAACCTTTTTTCTTTTTAAGCTACAGCCTCGTCGCAAGCACCAAACCTCTTTGCTGCCTCTGCCCATGTCTCCTTACTTGGTTTACCAGTCCTCTCTCTTTCCTACTTGCCATCTGATATTGCATCATCATTGGTGTCCTCCTGTCCCTGGCTCAGTATGTCAAGACATGGGCCACAGACTCTGGGAATGTATGTTGGCAGATGTCTTGCCTGTGTCACATACTTGACAGGAGAGGACCTTCCATGGCATTGACATCACTCTTCCTGACTTGTACCTTTGCTTCCAGCATGGCTGAAAGGGCAATAAGTGTTTTTATTTATATTTTTATACATTAGGGAGATAGACCAGAGACTTTTATATGGGTGTCACCATTAACAAAATGTTTATAATAACTACTGTATCATTTAATGCAAACTCAGCAGGAGGTAGGAAAATGATGTCAGAATGCCATGATGAAGGCAGGGAACTAACATTTATTGAGTACTTCCTAGATGTCAGGCATTCTTAGGCAGTTCGTTAGTGTGATGTCATAGAACAGCATGAGTGTTGCTGTTAGAAAGACTTGGATTTAGATCCAGGTAGTAACTCTTGTTCACTGTGTGACATTTGGCAGGTTATTTAACCTCTCTGAGCTCTATCATCCTTAAATGCAAAGTGGGCAATAAAACTTACCTTGGAAGGTAAGATATCTGAATCAGAGCTATATGTAAAATGCCTGGTACATGCATAGTAGGTACTCAATAAACAGTAAGATTACCATTTACAAATAGTATATCTCATGTGAGACATCTAATAACATCGCATGCCCATCAGTGCAGCACAACAAACCATGCTCAGCCTGTTTCTGTAGATCATCTACTATCTCTTAAGATATTAACGGAATTTTACAGGTCTTCCAGAGTCCACTTTTTTTTTTACAACAAAAACATTCTAGTTTAACCAGCAGAAGGCAGCATTGAACATTTTTCAACTTCCCCAGAGGGCTTGGGTAGACCAAAAAGGTGCCCCTTACCTAATTCGAAAGTCGAAAATGTCTGACTAGTCAGCAGGGTCTATGTATTCTATTGTCTGGTTGAGCTTCATGGTCCTATGTGAAATATATGTGTTACATTTTTTTTCTATCTCAGTGATTTATTTGCTGCATCAAACCTGTTCACTCATCTCCTAAGTATTTAACTTTGTGTATTGCTCTTCTTCTTAACCAGCTTTAACCTGGGTTCAGTTGCCACATTTTTTTTAAAAGATTTTATTTATTTATTCATCACACACCCATATACACGCACACAGGCAGAGACACAGGCAGAGAGAGAAGCAGGCTCCATGCAGGGAGCCCGATGTGAGACTCCAGGATCACGCCCTGGGCTGAAGGCGGTGCTAAACTGCTGAGCCACCCAGGCTGCCCCAGTTGCCACATTTTTATAAAGTCTTCCTGTCAGCTTCACAAGCTGATTTGCAGTATGGAAGTCATTTCCCTTTGCCCAAGAGTCAGCTTCCCATGTGGACTAGTTAATAAGACTGGTTGTTCCCATAACCCATTCCAGTTTTCCTGTAGCCAGGAATATCTCTTATATCCAGTGGGCAAGTTATGGTCTTGGTACATGAGAGGACAGGGCCATGCACTTAAAGTAGTCACATGGCTTTCTTCTCCTGAAAATGCGGCATCATTCAAATCAAGAATTTTTGTCTCCTTGGCTTGCTCTTACTTCTTTCAGGCATTAAGGACAATGCTGAGATAAATGTAACATTTGGGAATTAAGTCGAATACCTTAGTTTCAAAGATTGTGGAATGACAGAAGTTCCAGTTATCTTTCAATAATTAATGATATTGAGTTAAAACATAAAAGCACACATTACAAAGCATAAGGTATTCTTCAGATGTTAAATATTCTTATCATGCCATTGGTTCTTCAGATTTACAAGTTAATAGGAATCATCCATTTAACTCTATAGCAATGTTGCTTGATAGAAATATAATGTGAGTCACATACGTAATTTTCAATTTCCTAGTAAACTAGCTACATGTAAAAGAGATATAAAGTAACAGGTGAAGTTTTTATTTTACTTTTTTATTGAACTTAATACAGTATATCCTAAATATTATCATTTCAACATGCAATGATATCAAATTATTAATAAAACATTTTACAATCTTTTTTCACATTGAGCCTTCAAAACTGAGTTTGTATTTTATATTTGTATCACATCTCAAGTCAGACTATATATCTTTCAAGTGCTCAGTAGCTACATGTGTCTGTGGCCTACTGTTCCTGAAGCAAAATTCTAGAGACTACAAAAAAATTGGGGTGTAAGGAGATAAAACTGCTGTATTGGATTAAAAGGAAGTCTAAACTAACTTTTAGAAGAGTAGATTAAAGGGTCTCGAGTATAAGGGGGGGATGGAGTCCACTTAAGAGAACTTGAAGAGAAGCAGTGAGAGCATTAGCACAAGGAAATTACCCATCAAATTGGGGAAAATGTTCCCATCCCTACCTCCATCTCTGTGGGCAGTTTGGCGTGACTCATCACATGCATTACAGTGGGGCCCGACCTTCCTCTGACTATGGGTGATTGTTCAGCACCGGATATTGTGACTTGATGCTTCTGCCATCTGAATCTATGGCAAGTCCCATGAGCCTAATAACCCTGCACTCTATTGCCATGGAGATAATTGCGATGATTACCCACGGAGCATTATGACCGCCCCATTGGGTGGGATGAAGTGGAGGATGAGTGAGGAGAGAAGAAGGTCCTTGTTTATTGTACACAGATGACTTGGATAATTAGCCTAAGTGGCCAGGAAAAATGGCCAAAAAGTGGGTTAAGGCATAAATTACTGTCATTGGAAGTTTACACCATGTGAATAAGCCCTTATAAGAGATCCCAGGAGCCTTTTAGGGCACTGTGGAAATTAAGCTAAAGTAGATGGTGGGGAGGGAAATGAACATAGACTACAAACAGGTGTCCTTCTCATTTTGAATCTCTGTACAAAGCATGGACCCTCAAAAAGGCCTTTGAGTATTGTGCAGCATGGAAATCCTAGGAAATAGAATATACTTCCTGATTTAACATTTCTATATATAGAAAATGGAACAGGTAGGGGATGAGGATTTGTTACTAAAAACTAGGAGCTGCATCTCTTTGAGATGGTAAATGTGTTCTGTTCTCGCTACCTGGGATACTCAGGCCAGGTTGTAGTCAATGTTCTTGTCAAAGTCATTGATGATGATATTTCAAGATCCCTAAGTAGTAAATGTACTACTTTCCCTATTATAGCCAAGGGCAAATAATTATTTTAAAAACGCATTAATCCACTACTCTGTCTCCTAATTGTTTATACTAAGAAAGAAAAAAATCTCAAACTATGTTTTGATTTTTATGCAGAGTATAATACTTCAGAAATTAAGAACAATTTCTGGGCAATCTAGCCAACATCTAGCTGTGACTTGCAGCCTCTCAGTTTGGGCTAGGAATTTTGAAATAATGCCTGGTTCTATTCTCAGCTGGTAAATTCCTCTTTCATTCTTGAGGCCAGCTTTGCTGTAGAGACCAAGGCATGCATTGGCTGGAAATGTGATTCCACAATTGCAAATGGTAAACATCTGAGAGAAACACACGTGCTTCATTTTGAGACTGGCATGAATCAATAAAAAGGACATTGACTTGGTGCCTTTTAGCTCGTAGCCATTTGGGTTTGGCTATATTCTTACAAATCAAACAAATTGAACAAATTGAGCTCTTTGGAGTTCTCAAATCACCTTGATGCGCATGCCCAGGTCCAGTGCCACATTCCCTGGTGGCATTTGCAGGGGGTTACATGGAGTGTTCCCAAGCACCTCTTCCATACTTAACTCCTAGGTGTTCAGAACTATTTTTGTGGGCTTGGTCTGGTTGTGCACATGTGTCTTTCAGTCTGGCCACACATTACCCTTATTTCTTGATTTCTATCCTGACTCATGGAGAATCATTTTTTCTGGACCATATGCCTTGGGGTTGGCTGTGTGGATGTGGGAAGGCTCTTGTTACCAAGCTTGTGCTTTGTCAAGTCCAGTGTTTTTCTGCCCCTGCTCTGCTGATGTGGCTCTAATGAGACATGCTCTGTCCTGGTCTGTGCATCCCCCATTTGTGCTGTCTCTGGAGAACCCATAGAACATTTTAATTGTCTGTCTGAGTGATGTTGTTTATGCCAACTGTTATTTTCATTTCTGTAATATTACCCTGGTTTACTCTACCTCTTACTAACCTCTGGTTATTGTTTTCGCCTTTCCTATTCTTTTGCTAACAAAGTTGCGTTGACCAAAGCTGACCTGCAAGGTAGAGAAGGTTCTTGTTCCCATTACCACTTTGGACTGAAAGATGGCCTGTGTAACCCTTGGTATCTTTTCTTTAAGGGCCTTCAAGCTGTCACACCTCTTGGACAGCATCGGTTTTGGGGAGGGGGCTGAACCCTGTGTTCTTCAGAAACAGAGGCAGAAAACCCATATCACTGAATGCAAAATAAGAAATGCAAGACGTTTTAGGGATCGGAACATGATTCCATCTTAGGGGGACTAAAGAGGCTTGACAGCATCCTATAAGGTGACTCCTCTTCACAAGCATATCAATCCACTTCTGCAAATGGTTAATACCTATCCAAGTGGTTGCTTTGGATGGGTTGGCTCTTTTTAATTTATTCACCATAGATAAAGGCAACACTTGGAAAGAGAAAAAGAAAAAATAAAAAGCCACTTGAGTTCTTAATTTATTATTTTCTGGATCAGGGAGGTCATTTCTCAGGACTTTTGAGTGCTTGGGCCTTGTGAAAGAGAATGCCATTTTCTCTTAACTCATTTTAAAGAAATATTTTTAGGCATTTGGGAGATATTAATGTCATTAAAATGTTCTAGAGATTTATGTTTCCTATCAGGGATTTTGGTTGAGCACTTTAATTTCCTGTTTTGTGATCTAAAGGAAAAAGTACTCTTGGGGAAGAAGAGAATCTGTCTGTTTTATCCTGAAT